CTGAAGTGACCCACAGAAGGAAGCTCCTGCCTCCTTGGGTAACACAAACAAGGATTCCAGAGGGAACTTTAATGAACGTGTGTGTACATGACCGTGTGTGTGTGTGTGTGTGTGTGTGTGTGTGTGTATGTGTGTGTATGTCTGTGTATTGTAAGCCAGAGGTCCTAACTGGGCAGCTTCCTGAGCTGACCTCAACCTTATTTTCTCTCACTGAATCTGAAGCTCTCCACTTTGGCCAGAAAATCCTTGGGTGTCTCTTGTCCCAGCTTCTGGCTGACTTGGTGTACTTATGTATCCCAGGCTAGCCCCACAGTCCCAGCAAGTCTCCTACCTCCGTCTCCTGAGGCCTGTGATTCCGGGCACACACCACCATGCCTGGCTCCTGAGGTGATACATAGAGATGCAGTTTTTCTGAAGGGAGGCATCCCGTAAGAGGCAAGGGTGAGGCAGTGAAAGCAAATAGTTCCTGAGGGAGAGGTGGTGAGCTCAGGGAGGGACAGCAGGGACTTTATCTCTCAGGCAGACCAAGCTAGGCAAAAACATGGTTTCCAGGAGGGAAGAGGTGACAAAGTGGGGCCCCCTCTGAGGCACTGCTCAGGAGGCCGCAAGGTTGCTGTGTACGGGTTGGGAGCTCCAGTGAGGAAAGCCCTCAAGGCTTGGACCAGAGCTAGGAAATGGTTTTTGCACAGACATGACATGAAGATTGATGCCCTGCTGTAAGGTTTAGACTCGGCTGCCAGGACTCTGGGCTCTGACTCCAGGAGTAATGAGGCGCTCGGAAGAGCAGGTGGTTGCAAGAAATAACTTGGTTAGAAGAAAGTGTGTCCTGTGGAGCCCAAGGCAGGTGGTGGGGGCTGGAGTGGAGGCTGAGTGAGACCAGACTGCTGCCCTCAGAGCCCAGGAAGGGGCCACCTGACCTGAAGGCCCAGCAACCCTTAGGTCAAGTCTGGGATAGCCTTATAAGGAAGCAGCCCTTCCTAGCTGGAACAAGGTTTGGATTCTGTAGTCCTTGCCTTCTCGTTAGTGAAAAGTCTGTCTTTTTTTGAGACATGGTCTCACTAGACCAAACTGGCCTTGAATTCACAGAGGTCCTCTTGCTTCTGCCTCTTGAGTGTTGGGAGGAAAGGCGTGTGCCACCATGCCCAGCCGGTGCAGTACTTGTAAGGGGCAGTGTGTGGCATTCACATTTGAGTCCCTGCTAGGCACAGCAGGACAGACAGCCAGGACTGTGGAGCCAGAAAAGGATCCACCAATGTGGACCCCCAGAAAAGACTTCCTGGAGAAGCTTGTGCCAAACTTGTGTACAAGTCACTACATGTGCATTCACTGTGGTACAAAGAGGGAGCTATGGAAGACCACTTGCAGGGGTTACTCGTAGCGGGGCCTGTGATGGCACAGGATCCCCTCAGGATGGGAGGCAAAGGTGCTGGGGACACACTATGAAGAAGGCTCTGGTTTTCCTCTCAAGACTAGATTCTTCCCAGGGGCACTGAGGAGCTGTTGCACCTGTTGCTGTCAACACTGGTGACAAATGTGGTTGAAGAAACAAAGGGAGATAGGGACAGGGACACCGGTCAGGCTGCTGAAAATCCAGGGCCGAAAACATTCGGGACAGACAATGGAAAGCCTAGTCAATCATGTGGGAGGTACAGCTGTCAAGGTTAATGACAGTTGAGGAAGAGGAAAGAGGTACCTAGGCTTCTAGCTTGAGCCCTGGGGTGGCAGTGGGGACAACTAAGGGGACAGATTCAAAAGAAGGTGGTGAACTGGGTTGAGAGATATGTGACTATGGGATCTACAGGGGCATGGTGGGCGTCCTCGGGGAAATGGCCTGCCACACCTGCCGTGTTTTACTTAGTTCGTGCCTGTGATTCTGGAACTTGTGTCTCATCTGGTTTGAAGAGAGAGTGAACCAAAAAGGTTGAGGACCTTGCTCTAGACCACAGAGCTCAGGTTTGTCTGATTTGGTTTCATGCAGTCATACAAGTGGCAAGATGGAGCTGATTGATTCCGGGTGGGATGGACTAGCATATGCAAAGAAGGTGGTCTCCCTGAGCCCTACCCTGCATTGCTGCCTGACCCTGGCTAAATCAAGGTTCTAGCAAAGACCCTCTGGCCAGCCCCTCCTTCTGCCTTGGGCTGGCAGGGACAGCATCATCTATCAACTTCGAGGCGTGGACCTGGGGAAAAACCACCAATTAACCAGCTCAGCTTTCCTGTTAATGAGCATCACCTCCCGGTGCAGGGCTCATCTGTGAGCCGCTGCTGTAAGGTTGGAGGCCGGGCTGAGAGCGCGTTAAAGAGGCCGAGACTGATTATGGAGACATCTGCTTGGCAACCAGCTAAGTGGCTTGTTGTGGGGGTGAGGCTGGGATGGGAAGGATGGCACCCGGATAGGGGAAATGGGGTACACCGAGGCTCCCTCGGCATCCGTGGCTCTGGATGGCTGTAAAGCTGGGGCAGGCAGGCACTGGCCTCAGCCACTGGGCCAACTCAGAGCAGCGTAGCACAGGGGAAAGGGGTGTTTTTTTGTTTTTGTTTTTTTTGGTTTTTCGAGACAGGGTTTCTCTGTGTAGCCCTGGCTGTCCTGGAACTCACTCTGTAGACCAGGCTGGCCTCAACTCAGAAATCCACCTGCCTCTGCCTCCCAAGTGCTGGGATGAAAGGCGTGCGCCACCACCGCCCGGCCAAGGGGTGGGTTTCAAAGTCTGTTGAATCCCAGCTGCTGTACTAATCGGGGAGGCTTCTGGGTAGAACTGGGCTGTTTGAGCTGGACCCCCACTCCAAGACACTCTCCTGTGGTCCTGGCCTGAAGCACCTCCTAGGGGCTCTCCCTTTGTAGTCTACCCCTCACCCTTTGGGGGGTTATCCTCCCCAAAGATCAGCCAGAGTACCTAGACTCCTGATCCTATGACTCTGAGCATCGTCTCAGTACCAGGTGCATGTCTTACCCACCATCCACACTGTACTGTGAGTTCTGGCAAGAAAGAAGAGAGTGAACCTTCTGCTTCTGAGAACACTGACCTGTCACAGAACTGCCATTCACTCCGTGTGTTCATCCTAGCAAGCACATCCCAGGGGCACTGCAGACACCGGGCTTTTGGAAGCCAGCCAGGGGAGAATGCTAGGCTCGTAGAGTCTGACACTTATCTCACCTTCTAAGCCTCAGTTTCCCCAGTCTATAGGAGAGGTAGTATACATATAAAGTGACCACCTTATCACAGACTCTAAAGCTATCCAGGACACATGTTGGCACACAGTAGGCACTCAACACATACCACCACCCTCTGTGAGGAAACGGATTGTGAGGAGGCTCTGGTTTCGGGCATGGTAGAGACTGACTCTGGTCAGGCTGAGGTGATCTAGCTCCCTGGGTGGGGGACCCTGGCAAACCTGTTTGTTCACGTGTGGGTGGCAGCAGGAAGGCCCACCTCAAACCTGTGAACTGGTGTGAGTGCTCAGTAAGGACTGTTCATCTTAGGAAGGAGTCGGGCCCGAGTGAAGCCAACGCTTTCCTTCAGGGCCTGCACATGGCACTCTCTCCCTGTCAGGGGCTTCCAGGCAGCCAGCTCTAGAAGCAAGCCCAGAGGACTCCTTCAGCTGTGTTCTTTCCCGCCCCTGCCCAGTCCAGAGCCCAGGGCCCACTTCTGTTTCCTGACTCACTCAAGTGTCTGAGACAAGTCTATTTGGCTGGCTCTTCAGACTGATTCAGGGTTATAGGAAATATTCTGGCTGGAAATGGGAACAAGGCAGATTGCCTGGCCTCCTGACCAGTGTTGATGATTAACCCAGAAGCCAACTTCCTGCATCAAGCCCTCCCTTCACTGTCTGCATGGCCACAGAGGGAGTTAGCAACAGATGCTGTGCTAGGACCAACGGTGCTCTTGAGGCCTAGCCTGAGGTAACAGGGATGCGGGGGCCCTCCTTGTTCCTGGCAGCCCAGGCTTCAGGAATTGATTGGTCCTTGTATCTTAGAAATTCTGGGTCACCTTGGGACAATTTTGAAGTCCCAGCACACCATGCTTTTCATATTCAAAGCAGCAGCGTGGGGCCAGGTGTCCTTGGCATGCCCAGGCAGCCCAGAGGACTCTGGCAGCTCTTTTTCCGGGCACCAAAGCTGGAATTCCCAATTTCTCTTAATGTGGATTTTTCCTCAGGATACCAGTGCACATTTCACACAAGCCTTCCTCTGTCTGTTCTGAGGTTCATGTTCCTTCCCTAACAGCTAGAGGGCTGATAACCACGCTACAAGTCCTTCTTGGACGGCTAGGGTGAGGAGCCCAGTGATGCAGTGCCCGAGAGGGGCTGGTTCCTTCCAGCTCTGCCTTTTCTGTCTTGGTCTCCAGCCTGCCCTGGTAATGGCCTCTGCCCCAGTGGAGTCCCAAGATGAGAGCAAGATCAAGTGAGCCCCTGGGCCCCAAGAAGTGAGGGTCATCTGGAGAGCTGGTCACTCAGGCAGAGAAGAAAGTCATACAGCCAGCCCCTTGCTCTTCTTGTCACTCAGCAGGGACAGCAGCCACCCCTCCCCAGCCTTGAGGCTGCTGCCCTCCCGATCCTACCAACATAAGAGATTTTGGGTTTTCCTCCCCACAGGGAGCTGGGGGTAGATATTCCACCCAGTTTCTCCTCCAGGTCTAGGGAGTGGCTGGGTTTCAGTTCAGTATCAAGCTGGGATTTGAAGACAGACTCTTCTGCCAGTAGCCAGGGCTTCCAGCTTGGACAGAGAAAGTGGGGCAATGTCAGGCCCGACATGGACTGGGAGCCTAAAAGCCATTGGCCAAATCCCTGTCTGGAGGTGGGGACCTCCTAGGTGAGAATTTGTGCTCCCCCTAACCCCACACATACACCCCAGGTATGTCTCCTTCGGGACAGGTAGGCCAGACAGGTTTAGCAGACCAGAGACCTCTGCAATGAATCTTGGCCCCTCTACTTTCTCAGTTCCTGTTGCCACTAAAGGAAGCCACCAAAATAAACAAACAAAAAGTGAACCACAAACAACATCCAGCTTAACCAACAGATTTCTTTTCACAATTTTGGAGGTCAGAAAGGAAAACATGTCTGGCTGGCTCTAGTGCAGTTGTCAGCAGAGCGGGTCCCCGCTGGAGGTTCCGAGGGACCCACTGGCTGTCGTCTGCCAGCTCCCGGCTTCTTTCTTGATGTCTCACATCCATAGGGCGCCAGTCACCTCCTCCCTCCTCCCACAGGGCTCCCTGGGGTGATACTCAGCCCACCTAAGTGATCCAGGATCCTGTCTCCGCTAAATACTCGAGTCACATATCTGTACAGCCTCTTGTCACGACACCTAAGACCTAGAGTATCCTGGGATAAGGAGCTGGTCCATGACCCACTATCGACCACTGACAACTAGGCTGTGAAACAGATCCCCGTTGGTAGTGTTTCAGTGACTGGGTGGGAAGGAGCTGCAGATCGTTCTTTGGGCTGAATAGGGTCCTTCCTAAGCTTGAGCAATGTCCCTCTTCTGCTAAGAGACACCTCGCAGTGCAGTGTTTCCTTGAAAGTCAGGAGCAGGGCTAAACTGAAGTGCTGGTGTAAGGGGCGGGGCAAGCTTACAGATCCACAGCAGCCCGGGTAGCCTCAGAGTGCCTACCCAAAGCCAGATGATGATATTAAAAGTCCGTGGCTGGGAAGAACTAGAGAGGGGCTCTGAGGCGTGCTGAGAGCACAGGGAGGCCACAGGAGGAGTGGTGTCTGCTAGGACAGCATGTGTGGGCCTAGAATGTGGCTACAGAGGCTGGCATTATGCAGCAGGAGCAGGGGCTGTGGTCCCGACCCAGAGAGATGATGCACTGTCAGTTCTGCCCCCGGCATCTAAGGGCAAGGTGGAACTCCAGCATCCCTGGGGCTTTCCCAGTAGCGAGTTCAGAGGGCAGCGGCAAAACAAGGAGCAGCCGTCCTTGCTACCTCTTCTCCATACTCTGCATCTGCAGACTGAGAGAGGTGAAGCTGGCCAAGAGGTCCGTCACTTCATCCACCTGCAGGGAGAGAGCCAGGCTGACCCAGGGGGTATCACACTGGGCACGGAACATGGGCATTGCCTCTCTTTAGGGCATACAAATGCTTCCTCCTCGTGGTGTTTCAGTGAGCAAGACGGGGGTTGGAGACTTTTGTGTGTGAAGGGCCCTGACACCAACCTCTCTCTCTGACTGTCCTGGCCATCACGTGGTCTGGGACTGCCCCTGAGAGCAGGGACACAAGCATACGCCAGTCACTTCAGCTTCAAAGACATAGGCAGAGGCTGTGAGGGCCACACCCTAGGTTCTGTCTCTTTTGAATACATGGTTCTGGCTGCACTGGAGCAGGGCTGGACTGGCTGAGGCGCTTGCCTGGTCCTGTGGCTGTAGCTTACCTGTTCTTTGGTACTTGTCATCTGGAGGCGGGTGCAGAGGTCATCTAGCCGTTCCCGTTGTTCATGGCGCCCCAGGCGCTCCAGGTACTCCCGTAGCATGTGGATGATCTGGAAGGAGACGGAGCTACAGGTTAGGAGGCAGGCACAGGCAAGCTGTCACTGCTATCATAGCTGTTAGCAATTGGTTCTAATGCTGTTTTATTTCAGCTCCAAAAATCGTGCTTCCAGACCTGAGGGCCCCGCCCCCAGCTGCCTTTGACTGACAATAAAGAACTGCCTTACGCCAATGGCTGGGCAGGGAGCCGGGCGGGAAGTTTAGATTTCGTGGGCAAGGGACCCAGAAAGAGGAAAGGAGGGGGAGAATCACCATGATCTGGAGGGAGAACGATTATTAGATTTAAGAGCTGCAGAAGAAAATTCATCCAGCAACGTAGGTGGAACAGATTGAGGTGTTAGGTGGGGAGAATTGGAAATGCCCAGCCATGCCAGGAAGTAATGGTGCACGCCTTTAATCCAGCACTTGGGAGGCAGAGGCAGGTGGATTTCTGAGTTCGAGGCCAGCCTGGTCTACAGAGTGAGTTCCAGGACAGCTAGGGCTACACAGAAACCCTGTCTAGAAAAACAAAAAAACAAACAAACAAAAAAATGCCCAGCCATTGAGCTAGTCAAGGCATATCAAAATTAGCTGGTGTGTGTGTGTGTGTGTGTGTGTGTGTGTGTGTGTAGCACATAAGCAGCCCACTGGGAGCCGAAGTGGTTTAACTAATTCACTACTACACAGATTGGAGCAGGGATGCTGGGGGCAGCGAGCTCAGGAGCCCTGAGGCAGAGGCAGGCTGTCTGGTAAGCATGGGACCCATCCGACAAGGAAGTTCTCACCTGTTTCACCTCCAACCGGACGGCCTCCAGACACTGGGAATGACCCTCCTGTAGGATGTTCAGTTTCGACTTGGCCAGGTGCAGGGGCGTGCGGCCAGCTCTGTCTAGGGCATCTACACGGGCCCCTGTGGGAACAGGCAGAGGAGCCATGCTGGGGATGAGATGGAGAAAAGGGCCGGGGGTGGGGTGGGGGGGCAGGGAAGGGCCACATACCTCCTCGAAGCAGTGTGGTGATGACAGGAACATGGTTGGTGCAGGCGGCTGTGAGAGGAGAGAGACTTAAGAACCATGACTGTGGGGACCAAGGGAAGAAAAGCTGCGTCTCTGAGTGTGGCTGTCCCATGTTACCTCCTGAGACAGTGTCACTAGGGTAGTATGCCCTACTGAGTAGGACACAGATCAAGTCCAGTTTTCTCCCTGTGCAGCTGGGGAAACTGAGGCATGGAGCTAGGACTCACTATAATTGATGGGGTGCATCAACAGCAAGGCTGGGGCAGCCAAAAGCTTCACAACCCACTTCCTAGCAGAGCTGTCTGCAGCCAGTCCAGGGTGCATGACAGCCCTGCCAAGCGCACGGCCTTCTGGGATTGGATGGTCCGTGGGACAGAGGCTGTGGGGAGTGCACACTTGTGGTGCAGGCCCTGCCAGGGTACTAGGAGGCTTTCTATGTTAGAAGCCTAGCTTGTGGTGGCTTCTGAGGACTTACCCAGGTGCAATGGCGTGTTGCCCAGACCATCCTGTTGGTTGGGGTCGGCCCCATGGTCCAGGAGCAGCTGCACTGAAGACAGAAGAACCCACAATACACTGTTAGAGGTTCCCACCAACTCCACCTCACCCGAAGCCAGCAGAGGTTTGCTTGGAGTCTGGAGTGAAGTGGAAATTTCTGGTTTCTTCCTTGTCCTGTCACTACTGTCACCCTAGCGGTACATGGCCTTGGATGACCCCACTACTCAGGGACAGACTTTATCTTATTACATCACTTCCAACTACAGGGCCACCTGTTACAAAATACCAGGCTGAAGACCTTCATGTCCCCTTTCACTTGGGGCTCAGAGTAGTTGCTTTGCCAACCTGTATCTGTAGGAACACCCGTGGTCTAATAACTTTAGATGTTCCTAAATCTGAGGAGGAGATTCGGGCGCTCAGTGGGAACCTGGACATCAGAGGTCAGAGGTTAGGGACCACAAGCTGAGTCGACAGTCTCATTGCTGGCTGTGCCTTTCTGTCTTCCAGGAGTCCAGACATGGCTCCCCAGGTTGTTGCATGCATTAAATAATTACTTAATCTATAGGGTGCAGGACCCCAAGGGTGAGGAACCAAGGACTCTAGGAGGGTCTCTTGGCCTCTTGGTCCTATCTGACTGAGGAGAAGTCTCCTGAAGGTATTTCCTATTCGCCCTGCAGCAACAAGCTGCTGTGAGAGCTAGGCATAGACAATGCTGCTCCAATGCATGGAGACTCCATGACCAGTCTCCACTCTTTAGCAGCCCTAGGGTACCTCATGGTGCCAGGGCTTGCCAATCACCACCTAGAGTCACCTTGGCTAAGGCATTGAACAGGGGGGCCGGGCTAAGTCTCACAAAAGAACAAAAGCTAATTTCAGAGGGACTGGTCACAGATGAAATGTGAACAGTAGCACTGTCACATTTCTAGAAGGAAATGGGAGCTATTTTTGTAGGGTAGGCAAACATTTGTAAAGAGTCACACACAGAAAAAAACCCACTGGGCTGATAAGATGGCTCAGCGGTTAAGAGCACTGACTGTTCTTCTAGAGGTCATGAGTTCAAATCCCAGCAACCACATGGTGGCTCACAACCATCTGTAATGGGATCTGATGCCCTCATGTCTGGAGACAGCTATAGTGTACTTAAAATAAATAAATAAATAAATAAAAATAAAAACAAAACAAAAACCCCACTAACCATAGGAAAAGGAGCAGCATGGAGCCGTAGCTGGGCCTGGTGGCTCAGGTCTGTGATTCTAGCTATTCGGGGGGCTGAGGCTAGAAGATTTCAAGTTCAAGGCCTACTTGGGTTGTAGCATGAGCTCAAGGCCAGCCCGAACAACTTACTAATACCCTTTCTTAAAATAAAAAGTAAAGCTGGGTGGTGGCGACACATGGCTTTAATCCCAGCACTCAGGAAGCAGAGGGAGGAAGATGTCTGATTTCAAGGCCAGCCTGGTCTAGAGTGAGTTCCCGGACAGCCAGGTACACAGAGAAACCCTGTCTCGAAAAACCAGACCAAACCAAACAAAAAAAAGAGGGCTAGTGTGGTGGTTTGTACATGCTTGGCCCAGGGAGTGGCACTATTAGGAGGTATGGCCTTAATGGAGTGAGTGTGGCCTTGTTGGACAAAATGTGTCACTGTGGGGATGGGCTTTGAGACCCTTCTCCTAGCTGCCCATGAGACAGTCTTCTATTTGCTTTTGGAACAGGATTTAGAACTCTCAGCTTCTCCAGCACCATGCCTGCCTGGATGCTGCCAAGTTTCTTGCCTTGATGATAATGGACTGAACCTCAGAACCTGTAAACCAGCCTCAATTAAATGTCCTTTATAAGAGTTGCCTTGGTCATGGTGTATCTTCTCAGCAATGACACCCTAACTAAGACAGCCAGGGATGTAGCTTAGTGGTAGAGCACTTGCTAAAACGAGTGAGGCCCCTGGGTTCAATCTCCAGGACCACAAAAGAAATAAAAAGTTGGTCCAGGTTTGTGTATTCCTAGTTCTCTGGAGGCGGAGGCAAGGGGATCAGTTTTTGTCATTCTCAGCATCACAGCAAGTCTGAGGCCAGTATGGATTGCATGTGACCCCATTTTAAACACACACACTCACTCTGTATTCATTTAGCAAGGTCCTCTGTTTATTAGAGGAGTATGTACCAAGCCTGCCATGGTGGGACACATCTGTAATCCTAGCACGTGAGGAAGCTTTCCTTATTCCAGACTCTGAGGCATGCACACAGCAATCCCTCCCCACTGCTTAGAAACTGCTGCCACCTTTGACCAGCTCCTGTCCCCCCCAACCCCCGGACTCACCAATCTGGTCATTGCCATTGCAGGATGCAAAATGGAGAGCTGTGCGGCCTTTGTCATCAGCTGCGCAGGGATCTGCACCATCTTCCAGCAGCTGCTGCACTGACAACCAAGATGGGGGAGGGAGGAGAAGGGTGACAGAGCAGGCATGTTAGCTATGCTGCAGTCCCTAGGGATGGATGATGCTCAAGGGCCCCTCCAGATAAGCCATCCCTAGTTCACAGGAAAGTTGGTCCCTCCTGGAGGCTGGCCCTCCAGAGACTTCGAGCCCCGTGAGGACCTCTCTCATTGCAATGGCTATGGATTCTGTGTTTGAGCTAAGTGTCTAGGGCTCTCTATCCCCATGGTAGGACCTGAAGAGTCACACTAATTCTGGTATAGGTGGTGGTCCCATCCCTTTGTTTCTGCTTGGATACATATGCATTCCAGCTGGACACAGCTGCCCAAGCTACTGGCTAGTACTTCCTTGGTTCTCAAGAAGAAGCAGCACTTTCAAGGGGGGGAGCACAAGCCCAAGGGACATACAAAATCACAGCCAAAGCTAAGCAAGGAAGAGCTGCACAGCCGTCAGTGTGAGACGGTGGCAGGAGCTGGGCTGGGAACAGGCACGAAGGCCTGGACTTGCAAAGCAGTCCCCAGAAAACGGGCAGCAGCGTCTCTGCCCTGCCTATCTGCAGCGCTGCCGTGATGGGATAATGGATGTGGTACTCCATCCCTGACAGCGCGAGGCCCTGTAAAGGGGAGACATTATGCACTAATGACCGTGTCCACGAAAGTGGGGAAAATTGCTGTCAGTCATTCTTGAGTCAGTGACATTATGGGCTCTTTCCTCAGGAGCCCATCAAAGATTTGTGTCCTTGCAGCCAGAGGAAGAACTGCTTCCTGTCCGCATGGCTCTCCGGAGCTGAGTCAGCCCCTTCTTTCTCTCCCACACCTCTCCCATGTTCATCCTGTTCCTGAGCAAGAGGGTATGGTTCTCACTGTACAGTGTACTCAAGAGTTCTGACCAGGCATCAGCCTCACAGTAGCCCAGTGAGGTGTCACATTCACTTCACAGATCAGGACACTTTGCCCAGTGAGTCAGTGTAAGGTTCAGAGGCCACACTGACCCAGGAGACAAGAAGGAACATATATCACTGCTGGGTTTTGTGTTTGGTCTGGGTTTTGAGCTGATAGTTACTTTATGGCCTTCCTCCTCAGCCTATTTTACAGGCTTAGAGCTTTGGTGTGAGGCATAGAGCCCTCCCTGTAAGTGCCTGCTCAGCTAGTGTTGATGACTGGCTGGCTGGGTGTGGTGGCACACTCCTGTAACCATAGCACTCTACAGACAGAGGCAGGAGAATCACAAGCTCAAGGCTAAACTGAAATCTACTAGCCTGAACCCTATTTTCTTGCTATGTACTAGAGACAGTTAAAAAGGGAGGGGGTGCCCTTGGTGGACAAGAAGGCTCAGTGGGTAAAGGTGTTTGTCACCAAGACCAATGGGCTGAGTTCCATCACACATGGTTGAAGGAGAGACTAAGTATCCACATGTTGTCCTCTGACATCCACAAGCACACCATGACACTTGCTCCCCCAAATAAGACACATTAAAAAATGCCTTTAAAAAAACAAAAAACAGCCAGGCAGTGGTGGTGCATGCCTTTTATCCCAGCACTTGGGAGGCAGAGGCAGGCGGATTTCTGAGTTCAAGGCCAGCCTGGTCTACAGAGTGAGTTCCAGGATAGCCAGGGCTACACAGAGAAACCATGTCTCGAAAAAAAAATTTTTTTTTCTAAGGTGATGCTCAAACATCCTAAAATATTACCTTTCACGGCAAACAGATCAGGCTGAGAAGTGGACAGACCTCTAGGGCCTGGGCCTGCTGACAACTGCTGTGCCAAAGGTAAGGGAACCATCTGGAAGCAGGCTCCATGTGCCTGCATCAGCATTGACAGCTTCTTTGTCCATGGTGTGTGCACGTGCGCTTGCCTATGGTGTGCATGCAGAGACCAGAGGAGGACATCAGGAGTCATGTGTCACTTGCCATCTATTTTATAACATAAGGTCTCTCTCATTGCACCTGCAGCTTCCTGTTCCAGTTCGGATGCTGCCCATCAAGCTCCAAAAATCCACCTGTCTCCAACCCCCTAAGGCTGGAGTGACAGGGACAGGGAGCCATAACTGACATTTTGACATGAGTCCTTGGGATTTGAACTCAGGTCCTATTGCTTTGACAGCAAGTGTTCTTACCCACTGAGCCATTCCCCAGGCCACCTATTATTTTTATCTCCCGCTCTACCCCAGGCTGTTTTAGAGTTTGTTGTGTAGAACCAACTGGCCTTAATTTGTGTCCAACTCCCCCTGTCTCTGTAGGGCTGGGACTGAGGGCATACTCCACCACACTGAGGTATGAATGGAAAAAATAATCTGCAGACTAAAAGATCTGAAATTATGAGCCAAAAGAGAGTTCCCTCCGAGCCGGGCGGTGGTGGCGCACGCCTTTAATCCCAGCACTTGGGAAGCAGAGGCAGGCAGATCTCTGAGTTCGAGGCCAACCTGGTCTACCGAGTGAATTCCAGGACAGCCAGGACTACACAGAGAAACCCTGTCTTGGAAAAAACAAAACAAAAACAACAACAAAAAAAGAGTTCCCTCCTTAGGTGCTTAGGTCTAACTAGTCTGTGACAGAAGTCTGACAATCCAGCAGCCACAGTAAATAGCACCCCATTTCCCCTGACACATGGGAAGTACTGTCAGTGGGTAAGTCCTTATTTTTATCATTATTATTGTTATTAGCAGCAGTAGCAGCATTTGTCCTAGAGTGGTCCTTGTGCCTTTGATGCTCTACCTCAGTTACGGAATGTTTGGAAGCATCAACAGAAGGCCAGTCTCAGTGTCCTGAAGGGAGCCCCACCCATGCTTGTCAGATGCCCTGTTAATAACAGGTCTAAAACTGCACTCAGGAGGCAGGCAGATCTCTGAGTTTGAGGCCAGCCTAGTCTACAGTGAGTCCCAGGACAGCCAGGGCTACACAGAGAGACCTTATCTCAGGAAAACAAAACAACAAAACAGGACAACAAGTCTAAGGAGCAGCTACTGAGCTGTCAGGGTTCCCACCTGTCGGTCAAGATGGAACAGTCACTCCTGGGAGCCACAAGTTCCAAAATGGGCACTTGCTCTTTGCTGAGGGCTATGCTGAGTCCCAGAGGAGAGGGGTGGGAGTGGGGGGAACAGGGACAGAGAGACAGAGAGACAGAGATGGTTGCTTGGATCAGGAAGCACACAGAGGGAGAAGCACTATGACACCAGGAAACCTACAGGCAATAGAGGAGCATGGTGAGGGTGTACCTTGCTTCCATTTTGCACAGTGACTTCACAGTCAAGGAGTAAATACAGTGAGCTGCTCCAAGAGAGTAAGGGTGAGCTGACAGATGGCCCAGGGACGGAATATTTGGCTTTTTCCTTCCCCATCAGCCCATAGGTCCACCTGGGCACACTCACCTGTTTCTACATCATTGGCATTGGCCGAGTCCCTCAGCCTCTTCAGAGCTATAAAAAGAGAAGTGACACTTAAAAAAAAAAAAAACAAAACAAAAACAAAAGAACAAAGCAGAAGGTGCAGGCTCCCTAGCCGTTCCTCATCTCTCGCCTTTAGTCCGAGCAGCACTGAAGCAAAGGCGTCAGGATAGAACACACTGGCCTGGCAACAAGGAGAAACTGGATGCGGCCACAGTTGGAGAGGCCACTTTCTGTAGCAAAACTGACTTCTTGAGACAGATCTAATCTCTGCCACCTGTGGTAGTTTGCGACCTCGAGCAAGCCAGTTACTTATCCTAGGCCTTAGCCTGTTATCTCTAAAATAAGGCTGAATTGTTCTGCCAGCTCTAAGCTGTTACAACAAAAACTGAGATTCATTTTTTTAAGATAGAAAGAATGAGACAGTTTATTTAGTCCTTTGTGAGATAATCATATTCAACCTCTTATTATTTGACTTGAAAGAGGGTCACTCCTAAATGACTTAACAAACTTGGTAATTCCTACATAGAAACTTTCTCCCTTTCAAAGGCAACGCCTCTATTTTAGAACCAACAGGAATACCTTAGTTGTTAGAGAATGGTCCAGAAGGTTGAAAACTAGATATAACAATCGCATACGTCCATATTCCACTGTTTTGTTTGAAATTCTTTTTTAATGTTTGTAATACCAGTATACCAGGTCAAACTAAGCTCTAAGAAGAGACCTTAAAACTTTCCCTTCTTAATTCTTCTATACCCCATTTCCCTTCTCACCCATAAACTCTAGAAAACAATATAAAAGACACAGCGAGGCAGTCTGACTGACCTGGGTTGGAATGTTGGCACACACAGCCTTTTTCTACGTGACTTGGAGTCAACATGACTAAATGGTAATCACTGGAATTGTCAGTCAATAATATGTAAGGTTTAGGGAGGCTGGGATGGCTCAGTGGGACAAGATGCTTGCTACAAAGCCTGATCTTCTGAGTGGATCGCCAGGACTCACATTGTGGACCTGGAACTTGCTACTTAGACGAGGCTAACCTTGAACTCACAGAAATCTCCCTGTCTCTGCCTCTTGAGTGCTGTGAGTGCTGGAATTACTCGTGTGCACTACCACACCTGGCTGTTTTCCTTGCTTACAATAAATTCTGTACAGGTCACTTCTCATGAGTCACATGTATGTATTTCTTGAAAGGATAATAAAAATGTGTACCCTGCCAGGGTACACCTTTAATCCCAGCACTCGGGAGGCAGAGGCAGGCGGATTTCTGAGTTAAGAGGCCAACCTGGTCTACAGAGTGAGTTCCAGGACAGCCAGGGCTACACAGAGAAATCTTGTCTCGAAAAAAAACAAAACAAAACAAAAAGTGTATCAAACAAGTGTTTGGCCCCTCGCAAAAGTAGAATATACGCTCAGAACCTTGCCTAACTTTTAACACCCTAGTAAGGCTGGTAGTGTACCCACTCTACAAATAGAAAATAGAGGCCACAAGTGACTATAGGTTGCCCACGGGCCAAGTGTGGAGCAGTCCGATTCAGATCTCTGCATTCACACAAGTTGGTACAGCGTGGCCACTGGCTCTGGGCTCCCTCCTCTACTAATAAAAGTATTCTCCATTGTCCCACATTATTGTCTAATAACCACCCTCGGGAGTGTAAAGTTTTTATTCAGGGATGAACAAGCGGATGAAGCCACGGTCCTGCGCAACTCCAACTACTTCGATCACTCACAAGTAATCCCAGGGTCCCTGGCTGAGCTCACCGTGCACCTCTTTGCCCGTGGGCCCGAGACGACGGTGGGGCCTGGCGGCACGCCTCAGCCGCCCGGCGGGAATCTTGCAACGCAGTTCGTCGCGAGGCTCGACGTCCTGTTGCCACAGGACCTGGAGGTAGCGCAGCGGGGACTGGGCCCTGCCCACCGCCCGGCCCGGGAGGCCTGCGCCGCTGCCCAGCGCAACGCCAAAGTCCGCGAAGGAGAACAGGCCTTCGGCTTCCGCCAGCGGCTCCGGCGCCACCGCGCACTCGCCGTCTGAGCTCGAGCGGCCCGACTGCGACTCATCGTCCGCGCCCCCGCCGGTGGCTGCCATGGCAACGGCTAGGCGCGGGCCTGGCAGCGCCAGCCTCGTTCCAAACCGACCAACGGACCCGCTTCCCTCCAGAAGCCTCGCTGTCAGCGAACGGGCGGGCGGAGCCTGCAACCACGGCAACAGAGTGCGGGCGGGCCGGACCGCGCCAGAGCGTCGGACCAATCAGAGTTCGCACAGCCTGCACAGCACAGCCAATCAGGTAAGGAAGACGGATTACAAGGAGAACACTGGTTTTTGGTAGTGTGACTGGCGGGCAACTAAGCCAATCACAAATTAGGGTTGCTTTTGCACTCAGCCGTGTTGCTACCGGAGCCAATAAAATAGCTGAGTTCCGACACCTCCCCCCCTTCCTCCTTTTCTTCCTGTAGTAGCTCCGGAAAGACGACTGGCAATTGCTTTAGCGAATCAAGGTAAGATGGTCTACAGCCAATCGGGAAGGAAAGTGAAAAAACCGAACTATCCAAACACTATGATTTGGACATATCATTTCGAAGTAGGCGATATCTTCTAACGTAATAGATTTTGCTTCGTCGAGTTTTCTTTCCCTCTTCGGGAATCACTGCTTTAACAAAAGACCTATATTCTATGTAGTTATACAAGAGGCATGTAATTATACATGACTGCATGCAGTAGGCAAATTAGCGAAAAGCAATTACTCAGCCTTGAAAATTCTACGGATCACTGGTCTGAATTTGACCCAAGGGAGGGGCAAGCACACACACAAACACACTCATCCACACACACCCCACAAGTCATCCACATTCTATCAGTTAATAAATAGGAAACATTTGAGACCTGTAGCACTACCTTGTGCTAATTCAAGGACTTGGGTTCTAGTCTTGTTCTATCTAGCCCAAGTTTGTGATTTTAGAGCAGCTTCTTGGAGTTGGTCTTTCCGACTTCAAAGGGTTGGTTTCTCCATGTAGCCCTGGCTGTACTGAAACATATTGTGTAGACCAGGCTGTCCTCATACTCAGAGATCCACTTGCCTCTGCCTCCTGAGTGCTGGGATTATAGATAGATGGATGGATGGATGAATTGACATTTCTTTCCCACCTCCCCACCCCTTTTTCCTTTTGGTTTTCTGAAACAGGGTTTTTAAGTGCAGCCTGACTGAGCCAGAACTTGCTCTGTCAACCAGGCTGGCCTCCAACTTACAAAGATCCAACTGCCTCTGCCTTCCTAAAATAAATTTTTTTTTGTCTTGTTTGTTTTTCGAAACAGGATTTCTCTGTGTATCTCTGGCTGTCCTGGAACTCACTCTGTAGACCAGGCTGGCCTCGAACTCAGAAATCCGCCTGTCTCTGTCTCCCAAGTGCTGGGATTAAAGGCATGCGCCACCACTGCCTGGCCTAAAAAGTATTTTTAATTGAAAAAATTTTCATATAATAGATTTTGATCATGCTTTTCTCTACTTCCAATCCCGCCAAGACCCTCCACACCTCCTTAACCCACTCACCTTCATGCCCTTCCTTCTCTTATTAAAAACAAGACAAACAAAAAAACCCAAAACACACACATACAACTACAACAGCAACAAATCCACAGAAAAATGGCAAAGGACCAATGATACAAAAACTGCCCAAACAAAACAATATAAAACAAAAGTTTTCAAAAAAAAAAAAGAAAAAAGGGTTGAATTCATTTTCTGTTTGCCAGCCACTCCTGGGTATGGAGCCCACACAGAAGTATACTTTAGATACCTCTGAGATGTCATTGAAGAAAACTGTGTCTTTGCAATCAGGTATCCAGTAGGAATTGGATGGAGCCTGTGTCCTCTCCCACCTCTCATCACTGAGACCCTGTCTGGCCCACAGGCTCTGTGAGGTCATTTGTGTCTCAGTCAGTCCTGTTGGGTTTGGAGAACGATGTTTACTTGGAGTTATCCATCGCCTATGGTTCTTTTTGGTTTTGCTTTTCTAGACAGGGAACTCACTGTGTAGACCAGGCTGGCCTCAACCTCAGAGATCTGCCTCCTAAGTGCTGGGATGTGCCACCACTGCCCAGTTTCTATTGCATTTCTTCAGGGCCTGCTGCTGTCGGGTTGCTGGGTTCTGATGGAGGCTCATTGTTTTGCCTGTTCATATTTTGTGTTTTTATGCTGAGGTCTAAGCTTCTAGAATTGTACTTTGTGGTGTTACTTGGTATTTGTCTTGTCTTTTTCTTTTGCAGAGGGGCACTGTGTTTTTTGGTTGGGGTTGTCCTCTCTGGATTCTAGGCAAGTGCGGTGGCTGTAGGGTCCCAAATTCTGCATGTCATTGTGTGGTAGGAAGGAAAGGAGCTGGCTAGGAAAAAAAGGCTGAGAGGTGCTATGGAAAGAGCTAGATGTTGGCTATTCAAGCCACATTCCTGCAGTGGGCAGAGATCCACTTCCCATACTTGTAAACTCTGTAAACTCTAAGGCATGCAAGTGGCCGTACTTCTGCTGGCCTGGCTTCTGCCTGAAGAGCTCCAGCTGCTGAGGCCTTTAGACTTCCCTAATGGCAGATGGGCTGTTTTCTAAGGATGGTAATGGCTTTCCCAGCCCCTCAAGGCAGGAGAGTGGCCAGGCCTGGCCCTACAGGAAAACAAAATCCCATCAGTCCCTGAGTTTGCCCTAAGACCAGGCCACATAATCTCTCTAATCCCAGGCCACACTGGAAGACTTCATCCCTGCCCCTAAGTCACCATATAGAAACCCTGCACTCTGCCCAGGTCTCTTCTGTTTCTCTCCTGAGCACAGGGAGCCACCATCCTAAGTTTTCCCTCCCCTGCTAATTTGAGTAGGAATGGCCTCCATAGACCAAGGCCTCCACAGTGTGTTTAAATTCTTGGCCCATAGGGAGTGGCACTGTTAGGGGGTGTGGCCTTGTTGGAGGAAGTATGTCACTATGGGGTGGGCTTTGAGGTCTTGAGGTCTTTTATACTCAAGCTATGCCAGTATGGTACCCAGTCTCCTGCTGCTGCCTGGTGACCAAGGTATAGAACTATGCCTGCATGCTACCATGCTTCCCACCATGATGATAATGGACTAAACTTCTGAAACTGTAAGCCCCTTCTAATTAAATGTTGTCTTTCTAAGAGTTGCTATGGTCATGGTGTCTCTTCACAGCAATAAAACCTTAAGACTCTTCCCAATAAATCTTTTGTGTGAGGTTTGTTGTTCACTTTGACATTGTTGTATTCTTTGGCTCCTGACTGCCAGGACACCTTTCCCATCTGAACTGTAACATTTACACTAGTGGGTCTCAGGTCACACTAAGAGTAGGAAGTCCCAGGGAATGGAAGTATGGTGAGAAGAAGGGCTTCTGCAAGTAGGCTGAAGAAGGACAAAATGTAAGTCTGGAGAGAGATGAAAGGGCTACTGGGACAAATGGAGTCCCTGATGAATAGGTCTCGGGTGCAAGCAGAGGCTCTTGCAAGTAGGCTGCTACAGGCCTAAGAATAAGTATGAACACATCTTAATGAGGGACAGGTATAAGCCCCTAGAGGCACACGAGAAACCAGCCCCTCCCCTGAGGACCTCTCTCTCAGAGTTTTATTGCTATGAAGAGACACCATGACAGCAGGAAAATATTTAACTGGGCCCGGCTTTCAGAGGTTCAGTCCATTATCACCATGATGCAAAACATATAGCAGTGTGCAAGCAGGCATGTTACCAGAGAAGGAGCTGAGAGTTCTAGAGTAGACTGTGTACCACAGTGAGTGTAGCTTGAGCATAGGAGACCTCAAAGCCCACCCCCACAGTGACACACTTCCTCTAACAAGACCACACCTCCTAATAGTGCCACTTTCTGAGGGTCAAGCATTCAGATACACTAGTCTATGGGGGCCACACAACTTCCAACTGCCAGGTTCTACTGATAGAACCTTTTATTTGCTCTAATGGCTGGACCCATCCCCAACCCTGCAGAGCAAGAAGCCGAAGCCCAGGACATGCAAGCCCATCAGTCTGTGAGCTGACTTCAAGCTCTGGACTTGAAATCCTACCCATCCCCACCCTGGCTATCTCCACCCTGGAAGGCTCTGTTCCCCAATCTTCTATAAACTGTTGTTCTGTTCTCTACTGCTGCTTTCCTGAACAGAGGCAATCACCCTCCTGGGGTTTTACCTCTCTTGTGTGAGGTTTGTAGTGCAGTATGACTTTGTAGGATTCCTTAGCTCTGAACTGCCAGGATACCTTTCCCTCCAAGCTGTTACACAACATGAAGGGTATAGGAAGGGTAGTGAGAATCTTTTTCCTGAGTCCCAGCCCAGTGTGGCTACTGGGAGGTCCTTGGTAGAAAATGTTCTTAAGTATCCGAGGTCGGCACAATGGACTGGAGAGGGATTTAAAAGGGAAGGCTGCGAGGGTCAGTGGGAAATAGTTAAGCTGCATCCCTAAACTGTAGCTGCCTGCAGCCAGGAATCAACTGGGATCACCTGAAAGGGGGCTGGGAACGAAAGGCGGACAGAGGGCAAAAAGAGATGAAGCCAAGACAAAGTTCTCTGATCAAGGCTCAATGCTTTAATGTTCAGTTCTCAATTTAAAGGGAAAGACCCCGCCCGAACCCTTCCTAGTTTCAGCTGGAGATGGGTGGGATAATCCATTCTTGGTCACAGGTCATGGCCGGAGATATCTCAAGGCAAGCCCAGGGGCAGTTCTTCTAAGTTCGATGCAGCCAAGGTGGGTAACTCCACCTAGATCCTATCACTTGGTCTGTTGTGGTAAACAAGGTCTCTCAGGCCTGCTCAAGGCACACTAAACCTAAATCTTTTTTTTAAAAAGCAAGTTTGAATGACTCAGCAATTATGAATTAGGTCCCGAAGACCTAGGTGGGGCCCAGAACCCATGAGGCAGCTCACAACAGTCTATAACTCAAGTCCCAGAGAATCTAACGCTCTTTTCTGGTTTAAGAGGGCACTGGGCATGCTTGTGGTGCATAGACATACACTACTGCAAAACATCTGTGCACACTAAATAAATAAATAGTAAAAAGAAAAAGCAGGAGCTGGAGAGATAGCTTGGTGGTTAAGAGCACTGACTGTTCTTCCAAAGGTCCTGAGTTCAATTCCCAGCAACCACATGGTGGCTCATAGCCATCTGTAGTGGCATCTGATGCCTTCTAGTGTGTCAAAGAGAAAAACAGTGTATTCGCATACATAAAATAAATAAATCTTAAAAAGAAAGGAAGGAGGCTGGGCGG